GCGCTCACTCTTCCTCTTCTTGATGGAGTTGTCATTGCCTTTCTTGTGCTTGCGTGAAGGTAGCTTGATTTTGACGATGTCGATGCTCTTGCGCTAGACGTTCCTCTTGAGAATCGATGCCGTGTAGAGGATTGCGATTTGCTTGACGGTCTTGGTGCTGGCTCAATGTAGCGTGTTTGATGTAGGGATACTTGATCCGGAGATGGTGTCGTCGGAGTGTCGACTCGAGCGGCTCCGTCTTGAGTAGGATGAAGTGGTAGAAGAGCGGTTTACCAACAAGGCACGAATCACGTCCATTCTTGCATCGTTATCTTGTTTGTGTGCGTCGAGCTTGTTGTCGAAGTAGTCTCTTGTTTGTTGCTCGGAGAGTCACAAGTCGGTGGCAAGATTGTCGACGCGGTCGCTCATTGCTTGTTGTTCTTGATGCAAATCTTGTTGTGCACCGAAGAGGTGGCCCTTGGTGACGTAGGATGACATATTGTCGTCTTGCTCGATGAAGAGTGGGTTGGTAGAAGAACTTGGCCTATCCATCATTCCAAGCAAATATGTGAGTGTGAGAAGGAGAAGAACTTATACCAAATGTACCTTGACCGATGTTGAAGATGGATCAATGATCACTCAAATGTGTAACAAGAAAATAACACAATTGGTATCGATTCTTGTCGGTTCTCACACCTACACAAGTAAAGCTTATAGTGGAGCTCGGTTAGGATGGTGGCACAAAATTTGGTGCAATTGTTAGTGAGACTCAATTATGTCGGAAAAGATTCGCAATTTGCAAATTCAACAAGTAGACCAATAGCAAGTAGTGGTACACGGAAACACACACGCAAATAGATAAATGGGGTTGTGCAAACCAAAAATGAGCGGAAAATGTGGAATCCATGGAAAATGCTCTTGTTGCACAACTCTAGAGAGACGATAGCACGATTGCACAATAGGCGGATACAAGACTTGTGCACGACCTACTAAGCAAAAATGCAACAACTTCTATCCCAAGTATGTTATATGTATGGTATTCCGATGATATGATCCAAGATGATCGAATATGACAATCTTAATGTTGTATGATGCTATGGTTCTTGCTTAAAACCTCTTTGCTTATCTTTTCCTTTTTCTTAAAAGCTTGTTTGGCTCTTTCTCTTTTGAGCTCTTTTCTCATGCAAAACTTCACGAACCAAGATAGCAATTGCGTATATGCGATGACAACCTTGTGAAACAAGAGATGATACCAAGATATACACCACGATGATATGGTATGTATGCTATGGGAAGTATGATCACTAATGTGCACAAATAACATTGCCGGCAATACTCAAAGGCTAGTCTCGATAGTCAAGGTACGCAAAAATGGGCTAAGGGGTGATCAATGTAAGGCAAGAATGTACCATGACAGGGTACCACGATACCAAGTTGATATAGAGGTTACCGTTCTTGCTTACAGTCGAGGTGTCAAAATTGTTGAGCGGTCGATGTCGATGATGAATATGAGTGGCGGTGATGTAGTTGTCGAACCGTCCCTAAGTAGTCGAAACACGTTAGGAAACGGAAACCGCAACTCAAGACTCAAAGACCAAATGTCTCAAAATTGTGTCGCGGTGCAAAACGGGTGATCGATGGTGGTTGCGGAAAGCGGTGGTGTCATGCAAGTGCGTATGCAGAAAGGTGGTATTGGAGTGTATGCGGAGGTGGCGGTGGATCGGTGAGAGTGACCGAACTGAAGATATTCAGTTTCGTCAGAGTTCGTCGGACGTCCGATGGTGGTCGGACGACCGGTAGTCGTCGGACGTTCGGTCACTGTTGGATGTCCGATGCCTGGGCGATTTCAGGCACGGGATGAACTCGGGTTCTTGAGATGTGGAGGCGAAATTTGGGCAAAATTTGAGCGATTTTGTGGCTGGAAATGGAGGAGATGGTGGGGAAAGCTAGATCCACGTGAGGCAAAGAAAATCCACGGGTTAAATCCAACAAAACTTCATCCCATCAACAAATCACAAAAGAAATTTGGGCTATTTTTTGTGGGTATTTTAGGAATTTAGGACGCAAAACAACAAAATCAAGCTAGAAAACAAGGGTAGGGACTCCAAAATCGTGATCAACCTAGGCTCATGATACCAAGATGATGTAGGGTGGAACCCTAGATGCCCGATCTTTCACAATTGGAGGGGATCCTACTGAGAACACGAAGAACACGAGGAACACGGGGGGAAAACACGGGGAGAGAAATCACTCAAACCAACAAGATTCGATTACACATGCGCTAGATCCTCGAAACACAAAGGGATACACGATCCACAATCAACAAGGGACGATACAAGTGGCAACTAGTTCATGTCCATGACGAGGTCTTGAGGGGTCTTCCCATGAAGGGGTCTTGAATCCAAAGTGGATCTTCTCCGAAGAGGGAACGGTCTCTCTCGGTGGAGTAGATCCGGATGGATGAGCAAAACTCTATCCCACAAATGAGCTAAACCATTGCTAACCCTAGAAAGAGGGAGGAGGAGGTCTATTTATAGTTTAGTGTCACGAAGGGGTAAGTGGGCTTCGGCCAACACTTGATCACGCACAGGTGTCGGACGTCCGACCATCATCGGTCGTCTGATGGTTCACGAGGGTCCGGACGTCCGGTCTTGGTCGGACGTCCGATGTTTCGGCTTTGTTCAGGATTGGTCGGTCATCCGGTCCGTCGGTCGATCGTCGGTCGGTCCATACATCCGATGTTTTGGCTCGGACGTGGTGATGTCGGTCGTCCGGTGGAGCTCTGTTGTCCGGGCGCTGGGAATCGTCGGATGTCCCGTCGGCGTCGGTCGTCCGTCCGCTGGAGCGTTCTCTGGCTGGGTCTGGCCTGGCGGGTCGAAGTATCAGGCGTCGGTCGTCCGATAGCTGGAGACTTCCAGGCTGCTTCTCTTCTTGCTCCTTGTACTTGGTGTTCGCGTCGTCTTGTCCGTTGGGTGTAGTTGTTCCATGGCCTTCTTCCAAATACCTGATCACGCATAGGGTCTCCGCTTGAGGTAGTAGCCATGTCTCATATGTAGAGAGTGGAAGTTTGGAGAGGAGCGAGTTCACCTTATCTTTGATAGCCTTTGCTCGAGCTCTTGGCATTGGTCCAAGTGGTGTCGTGGGAGACGAAGATAGGTCCATGGGATGACTTGGGATGCTCCGCAGCAGAAGAGCTAGTTGTAGTACGGACACCAAGCAAATTTGTGTCAGAAGGGACTCGTGATGATAGAGTAGGAGCACTCCGTACTCATTTGTACAACCACTATACTACTCTTGCTACTCTACTAGTACATCTATTCTTTCACTCCTACTGTGCTAAAGTTATACTAGAGTACTAGTACTCCAGTACGCGCAAAGCACATAAGTTGGGATTCCAATTGAACGGCACAACAGCATGGGAACAAAATACGAGCAAGATCTTGTTTCGGGTGATTTCTCTCTTTTCACTCAATGTATTGTGAATAACAGTGCAGTTGTCGTCGTTCAGCGATCCACCGCTCGCCACCACTGCCGCGGTCGCCATGCTCGTCGTGGACGGCGAGCACTTGTGCGCCCTTGGTGTGAGCCCGTTTGTCGAGGGCGATCTCAGCGAGCACGAGCGGGAGCATTCTTGGGCGAAGGTCGGCAAAGAAACGGTTGCCGCCGTTCGGCGATCCACCACGGCCGCCTCCTTTGTTGGAGCCACGGTCACCGCCGTGGTTGTTGTGCTCATCGTGGACGGCGAGCACTTGTGCGCCCTTAATGCGAGCCCGTTTGTCGAGGGCGATCTCGGCGAGCACGAGCGGGAGCATGCTTGGGCGAAGGTCGGCAAAGGAACAGTAGACTGGATGATCGCAACTTGGAGCTCGAACCTTTTTTCGACGCCATCAAGCATATGGAAGGTTAGTGTGTGGCCGCTCACCGGCTCCCGAACATCACCGAGGGCGAAGGCGATAACTTGCAGGCAACGGCAATATTCATTGATGGAGAGGTCGCCGCGTACAGTGGATCGAAAATATTAACTGAGATGCATGGCGTGTTCGGCTTCATTGTGGAGGAATGTGGGCGATGATGCTATCTTAGGAGTGCCATATAGGATAAATGATGAGGTGGAGGAGAGAGAACTCATAAAAAAGGCTTGTCTTCTCTTATTTAAGAGAAGACAAGCGATGATCTCTTAGCACCGTATATCTCACCACATTTTTAGGAATGGCTAATTATTGAAGATAAGACTAAGAGATGACCCATTATAGATATTTTTTTTGTCATCTCTAAATTATATGTGAAACTTAAAGATAAAACTATCTTATCAACTATTGTACATGCCCTTAGCTAGCTACCTTAAGGACCCGGCTCTGTTGTTACAACGGTAAGCATATATCACACATATGTACATGTACATAACAAGTCACGTTACAACTCAACACGATCATGCACCAAGGTCACCTCGTTGAGATGTGTTGCAGGAGATAAGAGGCCTTCCCATTTCATTGACCCGGATTTGGGAGGAATCGCCGAACAATTTGCCCACACGCAGTAACAGTCTGCAAGCGATCAGAAAGGGCATTCTCAAGCCATTTATTATCACAATTTCGGCACATGAAGAGAAATTTCACATCAACAGCAGTAAAAAAATCACAGTAATTCAGTTTCTCACTGGAAGATGAGAATATTCTCAAGATCTAAATAGGGATGGATAGAGTCTACTCCCTCCGTTCTGAATTACTTGTCTTAGATTTGTCTAGATACGGAGGTATCTAGCACTAAAATGAGTCTAGATACATCCGTATCTAGACAAATCCAAGACAACTAATTCGGAACGGAGGCAGTAGCTTGGAGCTGTGTCAGGAAAATATGTATGTTGGTACTTACTTTTGTTGTGAACGACTACTCAAATTCCAGACCGTTAGATTTTACAACTGATACAACCATCGTCATCAACTCTATGCACAAAAATCATCCCATTTCTACATTTGCACCACCACAGTACATCCAGCCTGGTCTAGCAAGGAACCATAGCTTCACTCTACTGTCTGTTGAAGGGTTGGCCATGCAGCCTCCTCGTCGTTGTTGTAGCCATTAACAAGAAAATAAACGCAGTTCTTCTGCCAGCCTTGGTTATAAGGATTCCTGAAGCGTCCATCAGGCCCACGAAGATAAGTGTAGCGCGACTGGTTTGCAGCCTCATTAGTTGTGAGATTCCTCGCTATCTGCATCAAACATGGCATGTAATGGATAAGCACATGTTATGAAAAGCCTGACGGTGTTCCGTCTTGGTCTTTCTAGCATATCGGGGACAAATGGGAGTATCAATATGGGGCTGTTGAGTGATAAGCAGAGATTCTCTTGTGTCATGAACTACTCCCTCCGTTCCAAAATAGATGACTCAACTTTGTACTAAATTTAGTACAAAGTTGAGTCATCTATTTTGGAACCGAGGGAGTATATAGCAAGGTTGGAAGTGTTACAGGCATAAAATACAAGCACTTGTGCTTCTTTGCTATTCCCATTGTAGAAAATGTCAGGCCATAATAATACAACAATGCATGCAAACCTAATGTGTGGTCGGCGTGATAAACCAATATTGCAGCAAAGTCCTAAGCAATTAGTCAACAAGACAGCTTACCATTACTGCTTGTGCCACCGTCAAAATAAGAGCTCCAGTTAATAAGAAAATATCCATGAACATGAACAATACAGCACCAGGATGTTTTGTCACCATGAAGTGAGTCCACGACTCAGAAGATGAGAGTATAATGGGCTCCGTCCAAAGTCCTGCCGTCAGATGTCCATGAACTGTTACTACACTATTAAAAGAAATGAACGTATATTCACTATGCCTCCTTACTGTGGAATCCAACGGCAGCACCGAGAAGGGTTGTAGCTATCCCCATACAAAGAAACACCAAAAAGTCCCACTTATTTCTCTATAAACAAAACATATGTTAGTTATACGGAGATCCATAAGATCTGATGCAGAATAAGTTGAACATAAGGCATGCGTATTCTTTATTTTTAAGTTCGAAGGGAAGCACTTTGAATATCAACTGCAGTCAGATTTGAAAATGAACTCCATAGTCCCCAGCTATAGCAAAGTATGTATAACATAATAAAATGTTCTCTCAATAATTTCCAGAGTCTACGAATAACAACAAGCAGCATGATGCACCAACACACAAAATTAGTGCCCCCTATTTAGTCAATGGGACATTCCGAGAATATTTCCTGCTACGGCTGGAACAGCACGTCAGGGATTAACGCCCCTTTTGCTAAAGAGTACGGTACATTTGGCTCCATAACTTAAAATGAAGCATTTCATGCAACAATTGGATAATGGAAAAGCGCTAGCTAAGAGTAGAGTACATTATGGTTAACTTGAATAATTTGCAACTACCACTGGTACAGCCCGATGTGAAGTTTTCTATTCTAATAGAAGATAAAGTAAAGTTGAAAACTTTAACTAGATTCAAACTCGACATATCCACATCTTACCTTCCCAACACAATTTGATATCCAGGGGCAGTGATGGTCAAACTGTTCAACACACCGCATACAAATTGGACAATGTTTGGAGCGCACAGGACGAACTATCTGGTAAGTACAATTACTAAAAAATTAGTCTGGTAACAACAAGATGTAGTAGCATCAATGACATAAGAAAACAATGGAGAACCTTGTGTAGCTATGTTCACGTGATATATTTCAAAAATAAAATGTCGTGTCAAAATGAATATCCAAGAGAAAATAGTAAAAAAGAAAAGTAAAGTAAAAATGGAAGTAAACTACAACATTATAATACCTTGCAAGTAGGGCATAGCTGAGACCAATTGCCTGTAAAAGTAGAGGAACTAAGATCAATCCCCATGAGTAGTTCCTGCAAGTATAACACAGCTCAGTAATGATGTTGAAGATATTGAAGAAAAGTCCCTAAGAATATGACAGAAGTGCTGAGTACAAAATATTCAGTACAGATGCTCACGTTACCAGAGAAAAATGCAACTGAAAATAATCTACTTCTCAGATGGCATCTAGGGGCTGTTTGGTTGCTGCCCACAGCAGCCCTGCCAACCCATCGGCACGCCAAAATATTGGCGACCGATTCGACCGCCAGCATCTCGCCCAGGAATCGGCTATCAAATGAACTAGAAAGAGCCAATGGGCCTTGGCAAGCCAAAATTTTGGAGCCCAGCCAAACGGATACCAATACAGCGATCAACGCTAAAGAATTGGCTGGGCAGTTCAGGGTAGCGACCCAAACAGACCCCTAGTGTCACGACCCAAGCTCCAGAGAGCGTAGTCGTGAGGAGGCTGTTGTGCCGTAGCGTGGAGAGAGGTGGGCAAGAGGGTTGGTGGAGGTGAACCTCCGTTTTCTGGTTTTCCTCAGCACTTAAGGTGTACACGGCTGTCCAGTATATGGACAACAGCTACTTGATACCCAAGTTGGATCAGACCCTTTCCTAACCAAACTCCTCCCATGTCAAGTTTGATCTACCCCGACCTCTCCTGACATTATCAGCACGTGTAACCATCCACTATGCACTGACACTTCGGGATGCCAATTGTATATGCCCAAACCATCTCAGTTGATGTTGGACAAGCTTCTCTTCAATTGGTGCTACCTCAACTCTATCGCGTATATCATCTATCCGAACCGATCCTTTCTTGTGTGGCCACATCCGCATCTCTGCTACACTAACTGTTGGACATGTCGCCTTTTAGTTAGCAGCACCATACAACATTGCAGGTCGAATCGCCATCTTGTATGTTAAGAGTTATATTATGTCCATGAATAGCATGTGTATTTTCCCCGTTGTATAGGGGTTTCCTGCATATTTACCACCTCTACATGTATATATAGATATTGACCGTTGGCCCTCAGGAAATACAAGTTGCATATATCCTAACATGGTATTAAAGCCGTAGTTTTTTTTTCGCAAGCGCAACTCGTGCTGAGATCCAATCTTGCGCGGCCCATCGCTGCTCCTCTTCTTCGCACCACCGTGTTACTGCTCCTCTTCCCCAATTGCACCGCCGTGCTACTGCTCCCTGTCCTTATCAACCCCCGCTGCCACCGCTCTACTGCAAACAACAGCCTGTTCAGCAGCCGCCTCTCAGTTCAATTTACCCGGGCGTCTCCTTAGGTTGAAGGCTTGAAGCCCACCTCCAGGCCATCGGCTGAGTTAGAAGCCAGCCACAGCTGCCGCTTCTTGTGCAAGCTGGCTAAGTTCGCTCATGGGATCAGCCGCCGCCCGTACAAGCTAGCTGCATCTGCTAGTGGGTTTCACACCGTTGCCCCTCTGGATCCAGCCCTACAGGTCAACGCCCCAGCAGCTTTGGCTTCCATCCTGCCTCGCCCCGTCGATCCAGCCCTACTATTAACAGGGAGCTCACATGTTCTCCCAGACAGCCGCTACAGGTCCACGATGCGCTGCCTCCCGTGACTACGCATGCCCGCGTTCGCGATCCGCGACGGTCGCCAATCTCCGCGCGTCGACCTCACGTACAGGTCGACCTCACGTACAGGTCGACCTCATGTTCCGACGGTCTCCTGCCGCTGCATCGTTCCATTGGGATTACATCGAGCCGACGCCTTCCTCTGTGATTCACATCTATTCGAGCCAGCTTGCTTCAGTAATATACTTTGTTAGGACTTCGTGTTTCTCCAAGGCTCACCAAATGACATTTCGCGGTATCTTATCGCAAGTCTTCTCCAAGTCAATGAACACCATATGCAGGTCCACATTTTGCTCCATGTATCTCTCCGTAAGTTGTCGTACCAAGAAAATGGCTTACATAGTCAACCTCTTAGGCATGAACCCAAACTGGTTTTAGGTCACGCTTGCCATACTTCTTAAGTGGTGCTCAATGACTCTCCCATGGCTTCATTGCGTCACTCATTAGCTTCATTGCATCACTCATTAGCTTAATTCCATGGTAATTAGCACAACTGTGAACATCCCCTCGTTCTTGAAGATTGGTACTAATATTCTCCACCTCCATTCTTAGGGCATCTTGTTTGACCAAAAAATGAGGTTGAAAAGCTTAGTTAGCCATACTATTGCAATGTCTCCAAATCCTCTCCACACCTCAATGGGGATACAATCAGGGCTCATCGCCTTGCCTCCCTTCATTATTTTTAAAGCCTCCCTGACCTCATACTCTTGGATCTGTTGAACAAAACATCTCTTGGTATCATCAATGGAGTTGTCCAGCTCAATGGTAGAGCTCTCATTCTCTCCACCGAACAACTTGCCGAAGTATTCTCGCCATCTATGCTTAATCTCCTCGTCCTTCACCACAAGTCGATATGCTCCATCCTTGATGCATTTGACTTGGTTGACATCCTCATCTTCCTCTCTTGGATCTTGGCCATCTTATAGATGTCCCTTTCGCCTTCTTTCGTGTTTAAACGCTGGTAGAGGTCCTCATACGCCCGACCCTCGTTTCACTCACAGCTCACTTTGCGGTCTTCTCTGCCACCTTCTACTCTCTATTTTGTTTGTACTCCTATCCAGGTGCAGGCGTATGAAACAGCCTTTCTTCTCCTCAATAGCCTTCTCAACATCACCGTGTCACCACCAGATATCTTCAGCTTTGCTTCTACTTCCCCTGGTCACCCCATACTCCTCTGAAGACACATCCTGAACGCAAGTCGCCATCTTCATCCACATTGTTTGCATCAACTCCTTCCTCCCAAGAGCCCTCCTTAATAACCCTCTTGTTGAAAGCCTGAGTTGCCTCCCCCTTAAGTTACCACCACTTCGTTCTAGCGACTTTCACGCGTTCATCCCACTGGACATGAATCTGAAAACGGAAGTCAGCCACCACAAGTTTGTGTTGTCGGACAACACTGCTCTTGTCGGACAACACTGCTCCAGGTATCACCTTACAATCAAGGCAAGCACGCTTGTCTTCCCTTCTCGAGAGGATGAAATCAATTTGGCTAGAGTGTTGACCACTACTAAAAATTGGATTCTCTCTTCCCAATTAGTACTATAGTACTATGTACCAACTGCAATAATAAGTTTGAACTCAAAAGTCTGAACTCTTACTTTATACAGAATCACTATGACAAGATTCTTTAAATATTGAGGTGGGCCATTTTCTTAAAGTGCTTGCGTAAAAAATTAAAGTTTGAACACCACTAGTACTCTAGTAGAACATTCTACCTTCGGATCAAGCCCCTCGGTATTGGTTTTGATGTAGCCTGGAGTGTTTCTGTCCAAAGACCAAAACAGCAAAACTGACATTAAGCAGTAAGCAGACAGAGTACTTTAGAAGAAAACAAACTTAACATCTACAAATCAGCTACTGAAAATTAAAAAAGGGGTAATTCTGGACTATTAACGTTTGAAAGAAGTTTTCAATGTTTTCCTCATCATCTTTCTAAAGATTCTACATAAATACAGCAATCGCCAAGCATCATTAGTGTATTGCATAGCACAAAAAAAGAAAAAGACAAGAAAAATAAAGCACTTGTAAAAAGATTCCAAACAGTGCATGCAAATGATCCAGTTAAGTAAACTTCATATGACGTAGGCTACCTGCTAACTCTGTAGAACACCACTTGCGACGCCAAGGCAAGAGAAATAGCAGCCCATGACCAAAGACCAACAGCAGCAGTGATTCTAGAAAAATCAGATGCTGGAAAGGTTTCATAATCAGGTCAGATCATGAACGACGCTTTACAAGTCCTAAGCTTGAACATCAATAACAAAAACCTCACAAACAATACTCACCAAAAACAATTGATTTCAGGAAAAGGATCATGAGGATAACAAGATAAGAAAACAGGATAGGTGCGTATCCAACCTTGCCCAGCCTCCCTGAGCAGTACTTGTCTCCAAAGCTTACTTTTGTAGCATTAGACTAAAAGCGGAGAAATGAAACTTCCATTAGTGGAGCTCAGAAGATTAGTACATAGTGCACACAGTAATGAGTCTAAGTCATTTTGTTGGAAAACATCTCCAAGAGGAAGGGGGGGAAGAAGTAGGGAAAACAGGAAATATGGACAAATGTGAGTGCACCAATCCAAATACAAGTTTATATCTATGTTTGACTGCAAATATTTACCACAGCCCACGCCTATCTAGCTGCAGTAGTCTATCAGCAGACTGAACATTAGCATTTAGTTAATTTTTTGGGTCAAACAACGTTATCTCTTATAAGTTAAGTAACAATTCCAGGAGAAAACTTACAAGTATATTGGAAAGATGCTGTTGACCTTTGTCTGCTGCAAGTTGCAAAGGAGTAAACCCACCTCTATCCCTCAATGTTAGTTCCTGCTTGGTGCCTGCATGTACAAGAAGGGTGCAAACTTCTAAACTTCCTCTTATAACAGCCCAGTGTAAGGGAGTGCAACCTGCATGACACCACAAAAGGAACTTAGTAAAAATGTGGATTGTAGGTAGGATCTACCTCAAGAAAATTACCAGCAACTCCTGATATATATAGTTCGTTTATTACCATAAGACATGTAACTTCACATGGTTTAAACTCTAACCAATGATTCGAGAAAACGCAAATGGCTTTTGCGTTTCATTGCATTGGAAAGAGAGGGAATTTACATCCTCCTAGGAGGCAGGTTTGCACAGCCGTCAGGGGCTCAGTGGACATCCCAAGATGATGGCAAAACGACCCTGAGCCCTTGAGCTCCGGCCTTTGCCCAACATCGGGCCTCGTCCTTGATCCTGTCAACAAGCTCATTGAGCGAGGGTCTAACATGGTCAAAAACGCACGTTCCTATGCTTCCAGATCATCCACGGCACCAAGAGCGCCACGGATTTCAGCGCCTTGCGTAGTGTGGGCGGTGTGGACTCCTTCGCATGCAGCCACCAGTCCATAAGCGAGTCGTCGTGCTCGGGCATCGGCGCCGGCAACCGCAGCCAAGATAGGACCTCATGCCATGTCTGCCTAGTGAATGGGCATATGAGCATCAAGTGCCTGGTCGTCTCCGGTTCCTGGTCACACAGAAGGCACCGTGGGTGGTGCTGCAGGCCGCGGCGTGCGAGCCGCTCGGCGGTCCAGCAGCGATCTTGGCATGCCAGCCAATGGAAAAACTTCACTTTAGGTGGTGCCCAGCTCCTCCAAATGAGCTTCCAGGAGTGGCAGCCCGGCGCTCCCTGGAAGGTTGCCCGGTAGCAAGACTGGGCAGTGTATGTGCCATTGGTGGCCCAGCTCCAAAGCAGCTTGTCCGGCTCGTTGGACAGTTCGACGTGCTGCACCAAGTGCCAAAGCTTCAGGTACTGTCCGATCTCAGGAAGGCCGAGCAGGCCTTGGATGTCGCGCGCCCAGCGATTGCCGGTCATGGCCTCCGCCACCGTTCTCGTCTTCCAGCGCTGCTTGGGGATGCATTGAAAGTGATGGATAAGTCTGTGTACTAGGGTCTTTGTGGGGCTGCACCACATGGTCCTTGTGGCAGTTACGATAGAGTTCCTGACCATCAAGGACTGGCTGTTAGGATAGAGTTTTGTTCTTGACCATCAAGGACTGTCAGTTAGCATCTTAGACTAGCATCTTAGACTGGCATCTTAGCAGCATCTTAGCATATGCTTGGCTGGCTAGCAGCCTATAAATATGTATCCCCAACCCCTCAGGTTGGCATGGCATTGTGTGAGAAATAAACCAACGAAAATTGTCCCAACTCTCCTAGTGTCATCCACAACTATCAATGCTCAGGTTGAAAGGTCTAACAAGTGGTATCAGAGCCAGGTTATCTTGTACCCTGAGCATTTCCTGTGGGCAGCCTAAGTCGGTAGCAGCAGCTGCTCCGTCTGCCTCTGGTTACCTCCCTCCCTCCGAACAGTCGAGCAGCAGTTCGTCTTCAACAGCCTCCTCTTCACGCAACAGCCCCCCTGCAGCGAGCCATGTATGCAGGTCGCTCTCAGCACACGGCTACCTTGAGCATGCGGCGCCGGCAGGAGGCCGAGCGCGCCGCGGCAGAGGAGCGTGAGCGAGCAGCTGTGGCAGCAGCTGCTGCAGCAGCAAGGGTGTCGAGGCTGGCTGCAGCGGAGCTGGCAGCAGCCAGAGCGGAGGTAGAAGCAGCCAGGGCGGAGGTAGAAGCAGCAGACGCAGCACGCGAGGCTACGGCGGATGCCAAGGCACTCCGCGGCGGCTCCGGCAGCTCCAACAGCTCCGTGGCTGCGGACGACGGCGCCGACGCAGATCGCGCCAAAGTGGCGCAAGAGTGGACGGCCCAGTGGGCAGCCGAGCACGCCCACGCTCCAGGTGCAGGTGTGCACCGCGACGGCGGCTGCAATGACCAGGACCGCGGCCTCTACGAGGTCCGGACTGTGGTCAGGGATGTTGGTCCCAGTGTTGGGTGGCCTACCCTCACTAAAACCAACTACGTCGAGTGGGCCGGGATCATGAAGATCAGGCTCCAGGTGCGGCGCCTATGGGAGGCAGTCCAGGACAGCAACGTCGACCACCTAGAGGATCGACGGGCGCTGGACGCCCTCATCGCCGCAGTCCCGCCCGAGATGCAGTTCTCGCTTTCCAACAAGCGGACTGCCAAGGAGGCTTGGGACGCCATCGCCGCGGCACGCATCGGCAGCGATCGTGCTCGCAAGTCCACCCTGCAGGCACTCCCTAAGGAGTGGGAGAGCCTGGGTTTCAAGCCAGGTGAGGACGTTGATGACTTTGCTCTCCGTCTCAACACTCTACTGCAGAAGTTAGTGCAGTTTGGCGATGCCACCTACACCGAGGAGAGAGCTGTCGAGAAGCTTTTTCGGTGCATCCCCGAGAAGTACAAGCAGATGGCTCGGTCGATCGAGTCTTTGCTGGACCTCTCCACGATGACGATCGAGGAGGCGATAGGTCGCCTCAAGGTCGTCGACATCGACGAGCCACAGCCTTCCTCGGGACCCAACACCACTGGCGGGAAGCTGCTCCTAACTCGGGAGCCGTGGGATGCCAGCCTTGGTGACAGGAAGAAGGGGGAGCCTTCTTCCACGACGGGCGGCCGCAAGCGTGGCAAGCAGCGTAAGGCGCGAAGAGGCCCCCCGGGCAGGGCACAAGGACGTGCCGAGGGTGACGCCCGCGGAGGCGCCAAGGACGGCGCCGCTGGCGAGCCCAAGCCAGCACAAGACAACAGTTGCCACAACTGTGGCCGGTTTGGCCATTGGGCCAATGAGTGTCGGCAACCACGACAAGGCCAGGCTCATGTCGCACAGGCGAAGGAGGAGGAGACGGCTCTGTTCATGGCGCATGCAAGCATTGAGCTACCTTCAGTGACTCCAGTCGCAAAGGCGTTCATCCACCTCGATGAGCCAAAAGCACACGCTCTTCTCGACGATGGCTCCGGGAAGGACAAGACTACAGGGTGGTGCCTCGACACCGGCGCCACCCACCACGTGACCGGGCGAAGGGAATTCTTCGCCGAGCTCGACTCCGATGCGCGAGGCTCCGTCAAGTTCGGGGATGCCTCCGCTGTGGAGATAAAGGGCGTCGGCTCCGTCATCTTCACCACCAAGACGGGAGAGCACCGACTGCTCACCGGTGTCTACTACATCCCCGCGCTAAGGAACTCCATCATCAGCTTGGGACAGCTGGATGAGAACGGCTCACGCGTGCTGATTGAGCATGGGGTCCTACGCATCTGGGATCGCCAGCATCGCCTTCTCGCCAAGGTACCCAGAGGTGGAAATCGACTCTACGTCCTTGATGTGCAGGTGGCACAACCGGTCTGTCTCGCGGTCCGTCGGGACGACGTTGCGTGGCAGTGGCATGAGCGCTTTGGGCACCTTCATTTTGAGGCCCTGAAGCGTCTAAGTGCCAAGAGGATGGTGCGAGGCCTGCCATGCCTCGACCATGTGGAGCAGTTCTGCGACATCTGCGTGCTGACGAAGCAGAGACGACTCCCCTTTCCCCAACAGGCGAGTTTTCGGGCCAAGGAGAAGCTGGAGCTCGTGCATGGAGACCTGTGCGGCCCGGTGACGCCAGCCACACCAGGAGGTCGACGCTACTTCCTACTGCTCGTCGACGATCTCTCCGCTACATGTGGGTGATGATCCTCGGTAGTAAGGGAGAAGCGGCGGACGCCATCAGGCGCGCGCAGGTTGGTGTGGAGGCGGAGAGCGGCTGCAAATTGCGCGTGTTGCGCACTGACAACGGCGGCGAGTTCACGGCGGCTGAATTCGCATCGTACTGCACCGATGAGGGCATCCAGCGCCACTACTCCGCGCCGTACAGCCCGCAGCAAAACGGCGTCGTCGAGCGGCGCAACCAGATGGTTGTGGGGATGGCTCGGGCTCTCCTCAAGCAGAGAGGGATGCCGGCTGTTTTCTAAGGAGAGGCGGTGCTAACGGCCGTCTACATCCTCAACCGCTCACCTACTAAGGCACTCGACGGCAGGACTCCGTACGAGGCCTGGCATGGGCGGAAGCCGGCGGTCTCTCATTTGCGGATCTTTGGCTGCCTTGCGTTCGCCAAGGAGCTCGGCCACATCGGCAAGCTCGACGACAGGAGCACTTCGGGAGTCTTCATCGGCTACGCGGAGGGCTCAAAGGCCTACCGCATCCTCGACCCAAAGACACAACGTGTGCGCACAGCGCGAGACGTCGTGTTCAACGAAGGGCGAGGGTGGCAATGGGACAAGGCGGTGGACGACGGCTTGACGCCGATGTATGACGACTTCATTGTCGAGTACGCCCACTTCAAGGAAGCTGGGGGAGCAAGCAGCTCCTCTTCGCCGGGCATGTCTACCCCGGCCCCCAAAACTACATCGACTCCGGCGCCTGCTACGCCGACGACACCACAACCGGCGACGCCGCATACTCCAGCCCCGGCGGTCACCACTCCGGGCTCGTCTTCATCAGCACCAGCTCACGCAGAGCACAACCCGATGAAGTTCGCTTCCCCGCTCACTCACGACGAGGAGCGTATCGAGGCGTGGCATGACGGCGAACCACTGCGGTACCGTACGATGGATAATCTGCTCAGCGACCAGCCGGCGCCGGGACTGGTGTCACGTGACCTGGAGGCGCAGCTACAGCTCGCGTGTGAAGACAGTGAACCACGGTCCTTTGTAGAGACCGAGAGAGACGCGGCATGGCGCGCCGCGATGCAGTTGGAGATGGATGCGGTCGAGCAAAACCACACCTGGGAGCTCGCTGATCTCCCTCGTGGTCACCGCGCAATCACCCTTAAGTGGGTGTTCAAGCTGAAGAGGGATGGAGCCGGCGCCATCATCAAGCACAAGGCTCGCTTGGTGGCCCGAGGCTTCTTGCAGCAAGAAGGAGTCGACTTCGACGACGCTTTCGCCCCCGTGGCACGGATGGAGTCCGTGCGACTTCTCCTTGCACTGGCTGCCCAGGAGGGCTGGCGTGTCCACCACATGGATGTCAAGTCGGCATTCCTCAA